GTCACCGTCACCGTCACCGTCACCCTCACTCAGTCACCGTCACCGTCACCGCCACCGTCACCGTCACCGYCACCGCCACCGCCACCGYCACCGTCACCGTCACCCTCACTCAGTCACTGTCATTGTCATTGTCGTTGTCATGCATTGTTAATTTATTTTTCTAATTCTTCTTGTCTTTACTCAGGTCATCCATCGTCTTCACATGCCGTACATAGGAGACGAATTACATCATACGGGTTGGAATGCATGCAGCAGTTGCTATGGTGACTGTAGTAAGAGCCGTAACCGTCTTATTGTCCCAGGCTTTGACTCGACGCGAATCTACGTTATTGATGTAGGAACACAGCCAAGAGCTCCAAGAATCCACAAGGTAAGGATATCCAGAGCTAACATTCTGCTTATTCGGACCTTGGCCGAGCTAGTGAAGAAATTGGGACCTTAAGCTGCAGGACGGCAACGTGGGCGACAACGTCGGCGAAATTGAGGCGCTTCAACCTTCTATTGTATTATTATTTCGTGTTTACCTAGTATTTTACTCAATAAGCAACCCCGTTTTAGAGTGAAATGTCGTCTTTTGGGAGCGCTTTACTTATAACGAAAATCAGCAAAGACAAGCTTTTGGCGTAGCCGTTCTCTTTAGTACGTAAAAGTTTTACGTCTTACTTTCAGCATAAGACGGTAATGATGCACAGTATTTCGTACATTCCAACGAGTATCTATTGAATAGCGCAATTAGTGCTATTGTATGTTTGCCGTCGTCTTCGTCGTTGACGTCCTGCAGCTTAAGGTCCCTAATGAATCTATGCGACGCAATCCACAGTTTCCCTTTTCAGATCAAGTTTGAGTAGATACAACGTGCACTGCCTTCCTCCCCTCCTTTCCCCCAAGTCAGACGTGTCTTTTTTGAATATAATTTTAAACTTCTTAGTTCACCTGTAACGCTTCGTATAGTTATGTATGGATGTGTCGGAATTAAGTATGAGTAACCTGTGTCGCGCGACCGGGCTGCCTGTGGTCCCAGGAGAAAAATAAAGATGGCGGCGCCCGTGGAAAAAAAACAAGGGAACTACGATGTTTTTGCGGAATCTACCGTCCGATAAGTAGTTAATTTTACGTTGTTTTTTAGGAAAGTAAAGATAAACTCTTAAGTCTAAGTATGTCACTTCATACGAGTACAATGGATACAAAGAATCATATTCTCTGAAGGAATTGGTAGGGGGCGAAAATCGTGGAATGAGAGAAAATGTTGCGCAACTTCAATAAATTAAATTCATCCTCCTGAATGTGAAATAAACTTTATTGAAAAATCATATGAATTTGAATGAGCGTTTGAATATTTTACAAAGTCGAGGCCAACCCTTATCAGCAACCGGCGGGTCTCAGATGTAGTTGTGTCTGTTGCAGATCGTCGAGCCTGAAGAAGTGTTTTCTAAGGCTGGCGTTTCTGTCCCTCACACCACTCACTGTCTTGGTAGCGGAGAAGTCATGATCAGCACGTTAGGAAACGTAGACGGCACTCCCAGAGGTACGTACTCTGGCCTTGGCCGGAACTAAAGCCAAAATCCACTACGTCTAGCCCGCGCTGCTCGATGGTCTGCGGTGTTGCGAAGAATCCCATTTCAAATCAACTGGTCCTAAGAGTGTGTGCAAACATGTGACTCAAACTTCCTTAAGATATGAATAGCAATGAAACAACCGACATGTTGGTTGAGAAGCTTATGTTCTGGAATGCTATGTTATCGTCATGGCGGCAGCATGACGGCTATGACGTAACATGTACCCCAAGAATACGAGGATACCAATGAAACAGCCGCCGTGTTGGTTGATCTAACATGAGAAGCTAATGAGTAATGCTTTGTAATCGTCAACCAAGATGGCGTCTACAATGTAACCTGCACATAACTATAAAGGGTATCATTGTAACGCAATCTTGTATTCTATTTTCTCTTTAGGTGGTTTTATTCTTCTTGATGGTGAAACCTTCAGAGTGAAGGGCAAATGGGAGAAAGATGGCAAAGGGGTCCCCATGGGGTACGACTTTTGGTACCAGCCTCGACACAATGTCCTGATGAGCACGGAATGGGGCGAGCCTAATGCTTTTAGGCGAGGGTTTCAATTGGAGGACTTCAAAGCCGGTAAAAACTGGGTTCCAGTTTGTATATATTTTATTGGGCGCAATGTTTTCCCATTTAAGACCACGTGTCATTCCCTAGAGTATCATTTCTTTGTTTAACGATTGCGCATGAAAAAAGAKACATAAATATTGATACAACTCAAACAAAGAACTTATTCTTAAGAGAATGACACGTGGTCTGAAATGAGAAAACATTACGTCCAAGGTAAAAGGGTCTGTGTCCTCCTAGTGATTGATTTTCAAATGTCATGAATTATGCTGTGGTTTTAATATTACTAGCGGTAACGTCATAATTGATCAGACCATGTGTAACGCCATTTAAATAAACATGCCTCCCATTGATTTATATCAATATTTCTGAAGTTTTATTTAAATTTAGGCTGAAAACGTCTGAGTAACGCACGCATACGCAGACGTAACGCAATCTCGAACTAAAAGCCTGCATTCATTTCCCTCGCTGCTGACCAGGAGGAACACAGGCAGAGCTCTCAATGAAGACCAGTATTTAACTTATCACTTGTTTCTTTAGGAAAGTATGGTTCTCATATCCACGTGTGGGATTGGACCACCCATGAGAAGATACAGACAATAGATCTTGGAGTAGGTACCATTCCCCTGGAGATCAGATTCCTTCACGACCCAAGCCAGGCACAGGGATTCGTTGGATGTGCGCTTAGCTCTACCATCGTTAGATTCTTTAAAAACCCGGTAAAGAATAGACCAAAATACAAATTACCACAGAGTTCCTTGATTATAGACTCATTTACTCAGGGTTAGCCTCGTATCGTATCCAAGTATTCACAAATACCAACGGTAAAATAAAGAATGTACAACTTCAACAATACAAACACTTTGAAATTCCGCGGACCTCAATTGGAGCACGTGAATATTCTACACAAAATCGAGGCTAACCCTGAGCAACAGAGAACTCGATACTGGAGTATTAGAAATGTAGAATTTGTGTTCAAAACTGGGCGTTGGCCCTCACGTGATAATTTAGACGAAGGGACGAATCACGCCAACAACGGTCACGTGATAATTTATAGTCGAGGCCAGGTCACAAAACCAAAGGATAGTTGATCGAGCCAAGGTCGGGCATTTTGGTCACGCAATAATCCATCCAAGGGACGAGTTACGAATCACGTGATGAATTAAGTGACGAATCACGCAAGTAGCAGTCACGTGATAATTTAAAGTCGAGTACGCGTCACTTAAATCACGTGATAATTAAGCTTAAGAACGCCAGACTTCTTTGGTCACGTGATAATTCAGCAAAGAAACGAGTTACGAATCACGTGATAACTCTAAGGCAAGGTCTGGTCATGCGCGTTACAAGAGTAATTTAATCAATTTCTTTATTTGCTGTCCAGGATAACACGTGGGGAAATGAGACCGTCATCCGAGTACCTCCCAAGAAGGTGGAAGGCTGGGCCCTACCGGAAATGCCAGGTAACTGGCTACTATTTTATTTTTATTTGATTCTTTCACAACCTCTTGCTCGGATGTTGCCTTTACCTACCCCCTAAAGGGAAAAGTCAAATCAATTGTTATCGGCGAACTGAGTGGATGTTTGAACAGGAGGGAGGTCGGAATAGCGGGGTCATACTCCAAAAGGTAGTGAGTACCTATTGTTTTATTCATTATCCATATAGTCATTATACACCTACTTGCAAGAAGGTTGTCATACGATATTAGAACATTAGTAATTTAGTGAGAAAGGAATACATTAAAAGACAAAAGAAAAAGTTCAGCTTCAGTGATCTTTTGTTTTTTAATATAATTCCTATCCCACTAAATCACTAATATCATTTATCATTATCCATATAGTCATAATATATATAATTTAATTATACAGCTTCTCATTAATCCCATATAAGTAACTGTCCAATTATTTTCTTAACTGGACAGGTCTTGTTGACATGGGATTAATTAGGCAGTTACATAATTAATAGGTAGCTTGAAATATTCCTCTGACTGCCAAATTGGACTCAGCCTACGGCCTCATCCAATTTTGTCAGTCCTCGGAATTTTCCTCGTCCAATTATTTCTTAATTGGACAGCATGGAGTCCTATTACATATACTAATATCACAGGATAATAATTGTTTTAGTATTTTTAACACAAGTAAATATGATAAATAATGTAGAGAGAGTTTATCAAATTTTATTTATCTCTGCAAGCGGGAAAAATCGTAAAACGAGCGTGCGCGAGGGCGCTATATTTACCTGTAGGTGAATATAATACCATAAGAAGTAGCGCGCTGGATTTATTATGTTCACTTGTGTAAAATACTAATTGCCTTTAGCATATACCAGCTTGTGTACTTCCTAAGAACGCGCGCGCTCATTGGTTAATTGGAGGTGAAYATTGTACGATATTCACCTCTGAATCTCGGAATATTGAGTCGGCAACAAAATGGCATCTGCCGGCAATCATTTTGCTACAATGTATGGCCTAAATGAAGTATGGCCTAAATGAAGTATGGCCTAAAAGTTTTGCTAAAAGTTTTGTTAAAAGTTTTGCGTGAATTTGTCACGCAAACTGCAAGTCTCTGTTTGTTTGTTTTTATTGAATTATTGTATATAAAAAGTAAAAAAAGTTACTCTGTGCATAAGTTGGTATATGCTAAAACAATTATTCGCCTCAGGCTCAGTGAATATGGAGAATATTTACCTTGCCGCTCGAAGACTCGCGTATCGGTAAATATTTCCCGATATTCACTTCGCCTTCGGCGAATAATTGCTAAATATACTCACCTTCCCTATTCGAGCTACAGGCACACCAGGATACGTCTAACCTCTAGCTATTTTATTTATGTTCTCATAGGTCTTATTACCGATATTTTAATATCTCTGGATGATAAATACCTGTATTTTAGTAACTGGATTCAAGGTGATCTCAGGCAATATGACATCACAGACCCTAGGAACCCAAAACTTACCGGACAGGTAAATCTTCTAAAATATCTGTTAATAACCATTCAAATCTCTACGAATTTTAGGGTTCTATGAAGAGAAAAGTAACTAAGAGAAGGGCTCTCCGCCCCCCGTTATGAGCACTTTTTAATGCTGTTTTTAGAATCATTTCCTACCGATTTGAAAGAGTGAATGACGTCACTACAAAACTGAGATGTCGTGAAGCCTACAAATATTTACCGTCGAAAAATTAAAACCTATACGTTAAGTGTATGCTACGTCGAGTGTATAAGCAGATTAAAAAATCTGCCTCAGTTGGGTTCTCGCGGGACTCGAACCACTTACCTCTCTTTTGTTAGACGAAATCCAAACCACTAGGCCACTGAGGCAGATTTTTTAATCTGCTTATACACTCAATGTAGCATACACTTAACATATAGATCTTTACCGAGTGACAAAAACACATTTCATAGATAAAAACCTGTCCACCATTACAAAAAATGTATAGAACTCATCACTGTTGGGTAGCATTTTTCTCAGATCAGCTGGATGGACGATATTTCTTTCAAAAACGGGATAAAAACTTCAATTGTTGTCCTTATCGTTGCAGGTTTTCATTGGTGGAAGCATGACACGTAGCAGTGGCGTCAGAGTGATAGATGACCCAGAACTCCCTCAACAGCCTGACGAGTGTTACATCAAAGGCAAGAAGGTTGAAGGTGGACCGCAGATGATACAGTTAAGTCTTGATGGCAAACGACTGTACGTCACTACCTCACTGTACAGCAACTGGGATAACCAGTTTTATCCAAATCTAAGCAAGTAAGTGTTTGGGAGACTGATCTTGTTTGGGGTTTGCATGTTTTCCCGCAATAGTCAACTCTCGTTTTGCGGACACCGCTATATTACGGACACCTCGCTTTTAGCGTTTTTTTTTTTTCAAGGTTAGATGTTTGAGTTAGCCATGCCCTGACTTAAATCAAAACACTCGCTATAGAGGTTTTGCAGACCATCACGTGACGGCAGCCATGTTAGATGGTAGGAACAATACAATCGTTTTACATGAGAAAGAATTGAATTTCCGAGAGCAAAGGGATTTTTATTGTTCTGTAATCTAACCACAGGCAGCCCACACTATAATATGGGCTTGGGCACGTGATGATACAAAACCTCAATTACCGACAAGAGGAAAATCCCCGGCGAAAAATACTGACCAAGAAATAACCGTCATTGACTCTCGCTATTGAGGACACTCGCTATTACGGAAACCAAGTGATATTCCCGAGGTTCCGCTGTAACGAGAGATGACTGTACTATGTGGGCAGAGATGGAACACCGATTTTTTTTGAGCGGAAAATGATATCTAGGCAGACCAGCACGATTGCTTTCGTTCTTTGTGTGATTGACAATTACACGTGGCTCGATGTCAACAAAACACTTTGAAATTTCACGGACTTTCACACGTGAATATTCTACTCAATATTCTACTCAAAATCGAGGGTAACCCTGAGCAACAGAGAACTCCAACAGGGCCGTAACCAGAACTTTTACAGGGAGGGTGCACATCGAATAAAATCGGACCATTGATCTTTTTTAAAAAAAAAAAAAAAAAAAAAAAAAAAAAAAAAAGGAACCGAAAGAAAGCAGAACCAAAAAAAGAAGGAGATGGATGAGCGGACCTTAACCTTTTATGGGGGGGGGTGCACGTGCACCCTGTGCTCCCCCCTAAGTCCGGCCTGTTCAAACTGGAGTATTCCTAATATTTTTCATTTGTATGATTCTTTCAGGAAAGGCGCGATGCTCCTAATCGTAGACGTAGACACAGTCAACGGAGGACTGTATCTCAACAGGGACTTTCTGGTAGATTTTGGGGCTGAACCAGATGGTCCCTGTTTGGCCCATGAGGTACGTTATCCAGGGGGTGATTGTTCCTCTGATATCTGGATATAATTGTCCAGATTCTGGATTTAAACTTTAAAAGAATGAAGAAAAATGCGATGAGAAATTTTGATATTCGAAAGGAAAAAAGGATTTAAGACTACTGAATTGATGTTTTTGTATTCGTGCAAATATTATTGCATGTTAGTAAAAATACACAGGTGATTATTGAAAATCTCGCGCGCTGATTGGTCGAGAAACTCACACTATCACACGATAATCACCTCCAGCGATAATCCAAAATGGCGGCCAGCCGCTTTGTTGCTGTTACCGGAAAAAAAGGTCTTTTATCTTCTTTTTTCCCCTTTTTTATTGAAAGAATCACCTGTGTATTTATATTAAAACAATTGTTTGCCTCAGCCTCAGTGAATATCGGAGAACATTTACCTCGCCGCTCGAAGACTCGCCTCTCTGTAAATATTTCCCGATATTCACTTCGCCTTCGGCGAATAATTGTTAATTAGTGCCATTCTAGTATAATCAACCAATCAACATTGTGCACAGATCTCACTAATAATCGCCATTTTCACATCCCATAGTACATCGCGGTTTTGGGGGTAACCTACATATTATGCTTAAGATTGATTAGAAGTGCAAATGCATTTATGATATTAAAGATGTATAAGAAACCAGAACAAAAAGAATTTTTTAAAGTAAATGTCAAGCACTTCTCTATAAGTTTACATTCTTTCTTTAACACTGAATGTTTTGATGTTCCTCTGAACGTGCGAACGCAAAGCATTATGGGGAATGTGAAAATGGCGACGTCTTTACGCTATCAAAACATGGGAGTTAGTTTAAAGCACTGAATTATTAACGATTTGTAATGATTTCCTTCAATAAAAGATGAGAATTGTTTTCTAATCTGTCGTATGCAATTGATTTTTGAACGAGTCAGTTTTACCACTTAATTCTGAGGGATAAATTGTGTTTTCTGTGGTGAGATCCCTTGAACTTCATTATTGTTTACGATGCAATTCTAGAGAAAAAAATCCAAAAATCTATTCAACCCTGCCTACTGCAGGCTTGAGGCTGTAGTTTGTGCCAATCCTCTGCCCCCCCCCCCCCCCCCCCCCCACCCCCCCCCCCTCCCCCCACTGAAGGCTGAACATGTGGTCTTAACTTGTTGTCCATGATATCAGCAATTTTAATTACTGATATCATGGACAAAAAATGTAAAAAATGTAAAAATGTAAAAGTGTAAAAATGTAAAAGTGTAAAAATGTATATCGTATATGTATGAGTAGGGAGAGGATGCTGGGCAAACAGAAAACCATAATGGCTGAAAATGCCCCCCCTTCCCCCACCCCGAAAAAATAAATACATAAATAAAAATAAAGAAATATAAATACAAATAAATAATAAATAAATACATGTAAATAAAAAATAATAATAATGATAATAATAAAACTAATGATAAAGCAAAGCACAAACACGATAATACTTTGATTTTTTTATTCATTTCTCTTTTAATCGATAAAAAGCCCAGATATATTTAAGGGAATTTTTCCATATGCAGACATTTACAGTAACTGTTATTGTTTATTTGTTTTGTTTTTGATTTTTTTTCTTTTGGTTCAAGCAATAATTTAAACTTGCGAGCTTTTCTTGTAGACATATTTACAATATGTATACATTATTACATCATTCATTGCGCTGTCTTTTGCAAAGATTATGGCCGCCAAATAAAAGTACATCACTATATGAATATATCAAGTACATTAGAGAAGTTTTGGTTTGACTATGAAGACACAGATGCAGTTCAGACACTTCCCAGACCAGTCACATAATCACACTAGAAGTGACTCTCCAAAAAATAATTATTGTATTAACATGGTCACAGTACCGCCTAATGAGAATTACAAGTGCTACAATCAGATATTTATAAATATAAATATTATATTTATAATAGAGTGCACACACTAAAACCATGAACATTAAATAGTACTATTTCATACAGAATCCTTCATTTTCTATTGTTTAACTATCACTATTTAGTGCTAAAAATTAGTATTCGTTTCACGGATTTGGTGTGAGCACTCTAATATAAATATCTTAGCAAATAAGGTAACTTGAATATACAAGCTTTTTCTTGAAAATAATGATGGTGAACCTCACTACCCATACAAAACATGATATATCAATATAGTGAGAATTATTTGAAGCTGATCCAACATAAGTTTTATTGCACATTTTGCTGTTATCATAGTATATAAACATATTTGTATATAATATTAATTTAGTCACAGGTAGCCCAAACTCTCAATACCAGAGCTCAATATGACTGCTTCAATGCTATTGAGTACTTCATAGCAACAGTGCTTTTCTCATTCAAGTAGTCATACTTAACTCCAAGACTAAGAGCTTGGGCTTCCTGTGCTTTGAATAAGCATGCTTTATGCGTATTATTTGCTTTTGCATTTGAACCTGAAGTCAATAGACCTCAGCTCTGGAGTGCTTGAGCATAACGTTGTCCCATTTCAGACCACGTGTCATTCCCTTGAGAATAAGATTTTTTGTTTGAGCTGTATCCATATTCATGTGTCTTCTCGTGTACAACCGAGCACAAACCTTAAACAAAGGAATGATACTCTAAGGTAATGACGGATGGTCCGAAATGGGAAAACATTATAGCCGAGGAGGTCTATAGAGTGTTTAAATGTCACATCACAGCAACCAAGTTGGTATACCAAGATAATGCATTTTCTTTCCTCAGGGAATTGAACTCTATTTTTATGCCAAAATTGTACAGAAATTTTTTGTTTGGTACACTAATATGGCTGCCTTGTCACGCGAGTGAAAATGCTCTATACACCTTGGCTGTTTAGTTTTTGGGGGTAAAGTTTTTCCCCATTTCAGACCATGTGTCATTCTCTCGATAATAAAAAAGAACCGTTAAACAAAGAAATGATAATTATGGGAATGACACATGGTCTGAAATGGGAGAACATTGCATTCAAGCTAACAAAGTTTATTATTAGTTGCTTTTGAAGATATAAAGGCACAACTCTATTTTTCTGATCCACCATGCTAAAAATCAAACATGCTAAATTCCAATTCACTCTAAGGGTTAGCAATGTGCTATTTCGAAGCTGTTTCAGGGTTTTATAATAGTGCTTGCCCAGTCACAGTCTGCTACTGCATAAAGTATCATAAAGATAACTTGTTGACATTAGTTAAACTACACGACTAAACTGCTACTTGCATGGCCGTAACCACTTAAACTAAACAACTTTTAAAGATGTTTAAATGTCTGGTGTGACAAGGATATTAAGTGTCAAATGCTGAGGGCATAAATGATTGATTCTTTTATTCATCAAGTTCAACCTCGACTTGAAACCATTGTTTCGTGACCAGTCAAGCGAATTCTGGAAATGTCTATTGTACAGTAATTTTACATTAGGTTGCCACAATTTCTTTCTTTCCTCTCTAATCCCCCATGTAAAAGTTCTTCCTTCAACTCTCCTGCATAAAATTGAACTCTGATACAAAACTACCCTCTTATTTCTTTCCTAAAGCTTGTCCCTACATGATTTACCCTTGTATTAAAAAAAACCTGATTAATCAAAGAGAATTAATTTGTCATAGAAAATATTTTGTTCTTGAATTGGGATTCCTGTGGTATGAAGTAAGAGACTGGGGCAAACTAAAAACTGGATTTTAAACTGCAATAAAAAATGAAAACATAAACTATCTAATCAAGCATATAATCTTCCAATGTCTAATATATACCAGTTTATAGTGAAAACTTGAATTTGATGGCGTGATATCAATCTTCACTTAATTGAACATTTTTTCTCTAATTGGAAAGAAGACAAGTGTATGGGATTCCTGTGGTTATGGTCCACCACAGGCATCCCAACACAGCGATTTCTTTGATAGAAAAATATTAAATAAATGGCTAAATACTATTGAGTTTGAAAGAAAAGGAAAGGTTGTCTCATTTTCTTTTATATTCTCAATACAACTAATAAAACTATGCCACATATGCACCTCTAAATCCCAGCATGCAATTCACACCTATGTAAATACTATGCTAGCTGCAAGTGACATAGGAAATGCAAAGGATGATGGGAAGCCAATTACGCCTTAACTCCAAAATTTACAGAAATGTCACCCTTCACAGTTCCTTGCGCCATCTTGAAATTAAGGTAACCATGCCTTTGCATTGAAGCGAGACGAACGGTGATCTTGCAATGATAGAGACGTGAATAATTGTCCAAGGTGTTAAAAAAGGTCTATCGTTGCAAGCTCATTGTCTCGCTTCGATGACAAGGCATGGGCTACCTTTCGAGATGGCCGGGGAACTGTGGCTGGGACTATTGTAAGGATTACTTTCTAATATATGATATTCCGGATTTGGGGGGGAGGGGAGGGGGGAGGGGGAGATAAAATCATCATCATCATCATCATCATCATCTATTGCTGAAAGAAGCCATTCAGAGGATTATCTAAGATCACATTTTGAGCTACGTTGGTACTTTAACCTTAAGAACTTATCATATTTTATTATAATTTTTAAATGTCTTACTATTGATATTCTAAATCTAATAGTTTTAATTTATGACAAGACTAAATGCTAAAAAAATTGACATTTTGGCACATGCAGGCCTGGAAGTCAGGCTGTTGTTTCAGCCCATTCAAAATGCCATCATTGAGTGATCTCGATGGAGCACTGATAACACAGATTTACCGAAACGTCTTTCGTTAGTTTAATTACCTTAAGTTACAAATTGGATTTCAAAAAACCATTTATTTATACATGTAATATCTGTCTCTGTCTATATATTTATTATATGATTATATACCTCATAATATAGTATTTTGATTCCTTTGAGGATGTTGATGCTTTTAAGATTGTTTATTTTATTTCGTTTATGTTATTTCAAAAAAGGTTGGTGATGGTTTGATTGCATGTTGTTGTATCCCAAGGTAGGCTAATATTAACTGCAATATGGGTAATTGAAATTCAATATCTATGAAAGCGAGTTTACAGCAATATGGAATAGACCATTTTCTAGTTCCAAATTACCGCTGTGTTTCTTGATTACTTAGACTTATTTACACATGATTAGACTCGATTTTGTGCAGAATATTTACATGTTCCATTTGAGGTTCGTGGAATTTCAAAGTGTTTGTATTGTTGAAGTTGTGCATTCTTTACTTTACTGTTGGTATTTGTGAATATTTAGACACTGATTCAAGGCTAACCCTGAGTAAATGAGTCTGTAATCAAGGAACAGCAGTAATTTGGAACTCGAAAATTGCCTGTTATTTTTTTAAATGAACTTTGTCTGCATGTTTTACTGGTATAGTGTCTTCCACAATGACATTATTTAGAAGCTTAGGAACCAACATGAAGCATGCAACAAGACCTTCAACAACTTCCTTTGAAATGGCTGTGACTATTTTATCAAGAACTTGTAGTTATCAAATATTAACTAATGCTGTCATGCATTATCATGCACTAAATACATCTTCCTTCCCTCCTCCTCTCTCCACTAGTTGTGATACGATTGATGTGGTAACAAACTTCTGCCTGACAACCAATCATCCTTCCTTATCTTATTCAGTACACTTAGCCAGAGTTTTTTTTCATTGGGTTAAAATTTGGAAATTTTTTCCAAATTTTTTCCAAATTTAATTCTGTAGAATTCTATACATGCCCAAACTTAAACGGAAAGCCTGAGTAGAAGGAAAATACTTTAATCTGGATATTTGAATTTATGAAAATGGCCAAACGATTATTGCTTAGGCCCAAACTAGTCAACTGATTGAATGACTATATAACCAAGCATCTCACTGAACCAATCCATCAACAAACAATCAAAACCAACCCACTGACCAACCCACCGGAAAAAACCATTCACTGGATCCATCCACTGACCAACCCAAACCAACTTTACCCATCAACCCATCCACCGACTTAACCTACCAACCAATCCATTGACCAACCCATTCACTGGACCCACCCATCAACCGATTGACTATAAGGGAGAGCCTACATAGCAAGCAGTTAATGTAATATAATTCATAAAATTCAATGAATCACCCCCAACACAATAGATAGGACGATGCAATAGACTACAATAGATTTTCTGAATACTTTACATCAACTGAGTGCTATGTAGGTTCTCCCTCGACTATTACAGTACCTATCAACTGATCAACCATTCATCGACCAACCCATCAAACCAGCCGGCCTGTCAACTGAACACATCAACTATCAGACCAGACCAGCTGCTTATGTGGACCTATCGGACTGACAACCCACCATCTGACTTTACACTGACTTACCAAGAACCAACACACGTCACAAAACACAAACATAAAAAATAAATAAATATTAGAACTTTTATGCTCCTATGAGTTTATCGAGTAATCAGGACTCATACCAATACATGTACATCGTTATTATCTATTCTAAGTTAATTCTTTATAATATTCTAAGTTATTCTTTATAAATACTTATTATTTTTAGCCTATGCTTATAATTACATGTAGCTGCTTCTACCCTCCCCCCCTCCCCCCCCCAAAGTGCAATGGCAGGATATGATGGGATGAAACATCTGTACCAAGGCAATCCTTACTAACTTTCCAAATTCAAGAGGTAACTAGTAACAAACTAATGAATTCTTAACTGTTTCCAGGGTTACATGCTGATCAAAACAACAGTTTGCAAAAGGGAAATTGCAAAATAACACTGCCATCAATAGAAAGTATGCAAAGGTACTGAACAACTTATTTGATGGTCGGCAGTCCATTGATCAACTTCCTTGTTGTGTCTGTTGCCTCAATCAGTGAGTAGCAAAGAAAAATTACTAACTGCATTAATTCTGACTGGAAATCAAAAAACTTTGCCATCTTGAGTAACTAAACTTACTCACATATTTAAGATACTAGTTTGTTGCCAGAAATACCTCCTGACTATGGAATTAGTAAGTAAGTAAGTAAATTTCAGTACATATATCTCAGGGGCGGATCCAGGAATTTGTTCAGGGAGGGGTGCTGCGCACGAAGTTAACCCAGGGAGGGGTGTACCCCTTAAAATCAAAGGGGAAAAACATTATTTTGTATTGGTTATTTTTGAAGTAGGGGCACAAAGTCGAACCAGGGAGGGGTGCACACCCCCTGCACCCCTCCCCTGGATCCGCCACTACACCTAATAAGAAATCAATCTATCTATATTTATACTAGCATTTCCCAATTTAAACTACTCGTGACTGTCTAAATAGTCCATGAACCTAACTAATATCACTATATTACACAATAGGAATAGAACAGACCTTCTACGAGTGTGACGTGACAAATCATAACGTACAGCACAGCAACACGCATCGAACTAATCATAGTGCTCATCCAATCAAAATGTTGAGTCAGCCATAACACACCACAGGCCTTAAAATAACTACTGATCATTATGACAGGGCAGAAAAACGACAAGCCCGCTACTTTTAATGAGTTTTAATGCTCCAAATTTTTAAGCGTTTCATTTGTGTCACTGATGCTCGAAACTTGTGACGAAAATTTTGTCAAATTAGAGTAAATCTACTTATTAGTATTCACAAAAATGTCAGTTTTTCTGCTGGTCAAAATATTACCTCTTCCAAAGTACATGGCTTTATATCTCAAATATGCATTCAAATAATGGTCGCATTTGATATTTGCTATTTGGCTCCAAAAGAATGAGTTTACAAAATATTGAGCTTAGTTGTGTAGTTCCAGAATTCATCCATACCAACCCCACAGAGGAATTTGGAAATTCTGAAGAGTAGGGGGTCAGAGAAAGAACAAAAATTACAGAGTTTGTATGGAAGAAAATTGGAATCCGGGGGGTAGGGGGTGTCTTAAAAAAATTCCTCCGTGATGGGGGTATGGATAATTTTTGGAACTATACGATACGTTAAGCTGTCCTTATGATGAAAGGCTAAAAACTGTTTTTTTGCCCTGTTGGTCATTATCAGTCTCCAAATTAGTTTTAGCTTGGCCATACCTTGTTTACTGGTCAAAATGTCCAGCAAGACAAAAATTTGACCAGACATTCCAATTCTGGCTGGACATCATCCAGTGACCGGCCCTTATTTTAAGTCCTGCACCTATACTGTAAGCTTGTCACAGCCATAATATGCTCCAAGGTCTCTTTACATGCAAAACAACTCAATCTAATTCAAACAAAAGTTTCTTTACCTTCACTATCTTGGCCAGTACCACTGTCTTTCTCAAGGTATTCCACACTTGACACAAGCCCACTGTTTCCCAGTTCACCCTGCACTCTTTGGACTACTTTTCTTTTTTTCGAAGCATTTTGTTTAACCTCTGAACCTGGACTGCAGAAGCTCTTTGAATCTTTGCCGCTTTGAGTCAACTTTTTAGCTCTGTACAGGTGCACGAAACTTCTGGACATTTCGTTCCTTGATTTGATGCTTTTCATCAGTGCTTTTTCTTTTTTTAACAGATCATCCTTATTCCTTCGAGAAGATTCTTTGTTCCTATGGCGACACCTTTGAGCCTTGGGTTTATTTTTCACCAAATTATTCACATTTCCTTCTGTTTTTTGCTTCAATTTTTGCTCTCCATTTCCTGTGTTTTTATTCTGAACTTTACTTTCATCTGGACAATATCCTAGTCCTTGATGCCTTATCTCAACAGGCAATTCAATGTTAGGAGGAGCCATACCCATACAATTATCATAGAAAAGCCTTCCACGATTCCTTTTTCTGTGAGTTTGAAATTCCCCTCCGGTAATCCCAAGTCCCTTCACTTCTGGATCAGAACAAGTCCGGATTTTCTCTCTAGGTTTAAGGTAGTTGGTTTCCATGACAATACATGTATCAGATCGAGCAAGAGGTTTGTTGTCTAGCAATATCTGTGGTACATGTTCTGATCCACTATCACTTAAAGTTTCAGCAAAATTTGTCTCAAGAGAGTCGCATGGAATTTCATTTGGGGCATGGTCGCAGTCACAATCCACAGATGATCTACCACTAGACATACTGCTTTCTAATTGGTGGGAATCCTCTTTTGGAAGTGTGTCATGTATGCTACTGGCTGGCTGTTGCTCAAGATATTGACTTAATTGTTCCCAGGCCTCTAGATTGGCATCCACTTCAGCCACAGGTAGCCCAATCCTGTTGATGTCGTTAGAAGATTTAAAATCATCCGTGAAGTGAATGACCTCCTCAGTATCATCACTTGACCTGTTCCTTGACATACTGGAAAAGTGTTTATCTTCCTTCTTTCTTTCATAATTACTCTTTTCTTGCTTCCCTGGACAAGCAAGCATATTATTTCTGTTCAATGCAATTTCTTCATCTGTTTTCCCATTGTGATTCCAATCGATTCTGACCGATTCCTTTGCAGTCAATTCACTATCGTTCTTATCCTTTTCTCTTAAACTTTGCAATTTGATATCAGGCTCACAATACTTATCTTTGCAGCATTCTGCAGATACTTCATTTTCTAATAATCTATAACCCATACAAGACATACCAGCGGCATTTTCAGGACCATGTCTTCTGGATACTTTAGAAACCAAAAAAGGAATACCATGGCAGGAAGAATGTAAATCACTTGCATCATCGATTGAGAGTAATAACCCAGTGCTGCTGGCGTCCTGCTTCATAATGTTATGATCGAATTGAAAGCGCAGTTGACTTGCGGCATCATCAGAAATTGACTGACAATGTTCTACATCACTAGACATTGACGGATGATGAGTCATATCAAGTTGTAACAACTTATATTGTCGTTTTGCATCGTTAGAAAGCAATCCCTGATGACTTGCATCTGAAGGAGTTAACCGATGATGATTAACATCGCTAGGAAGCATCTGGTGATCTTTATTACTTGCTATCAACATGTATTGCTGCTTTGCATTGAGAACTGATTGATGATGACTTGCATCACTTGGTATTATCTGATGACTTGCATCACTTGGCATCAACTGATGACTTGCATGATTAGGCATCATATGTTGATGATTTGCTTCCTTTGGTATTGACCTCAAACAACTTGTATCACCAGTTATAAATTGACCATGCCGTCTTTCTTCACTGAGATTCAATTCTTGGTTCTCGCTCTTTTTACAATCTCGATAGGGAATAAACTCTTCACTTTCTTGACCAGTACTGCTCGGTGTTTCACTTAGCCTTGCTAACGGCACTTGGTGAAAAAACTGCCTCAATGGTTCAAGGCCATTGGATATCCCAAATACACTCGAAGGTGCTCCTTCGAATTCATCGTCCAATGATGATTCAAACATCGCGTTAGAAGTTCCAGATTCTATGCTACAAGCAGCTCCTCTGAGGAAAGATTGTTCAAAATTCCCTTTATCATGATCCCCAACAAGCATGTCCTCTGAGATTGCAGTCAATGTATTAACATCTTGCATTGTTGTATTGCAGTTCCCTTCTTCGCAATGCACATCAATATCAAGGTTAGTATCAGAAGCATCGAACCTTGATCTCTCGTTGCATGATATATAGTCTCCTTGACATTTGTCTGTATCCATAATATTTAACGAGTTAGAGTCTGTATTATCACTACTTAAATTAACGGATTGGCACAGAGGAGACATATCATCTCCTAGTCCTGAATCAGAATTGGAATTGGAACTTGGTTCCTCTTCAAATGCTGATAATGAAGAATTCACCTGTCGTTCACCAACAACGTCATTATCCATTTTACATGTACCTTTAGATATTAAATTACTATTAACATTATTAGCTTCATTAGAAACTGGGTTCCTCTCGTTATCATCATCTCTGTCTTCAAACCTTATGATTTCTGTCGACTGTTCRACGTTGCTTAAATGTCTCTGAATTCCATTTATATTTTTCTTGGATCTATATTTCCATTTATAATTTTGGGAAGTTAAAGTTTGGTCTTGGATTGGATCCAGTTTTTTTACAGACTCATCCACCTCTTTGCATTCCTCTGCTTTTTCATATCTTTGAAAGACACGGGTTTCAAGACGCTGCGCTATCCCTTCTATCTGTTGTCCAATGATATTCAAAGGTCTTCTAGCCTCACTTTGAAGTGAAGCCCGTGAACTATTCAAACTTTGGTCAGCAGTCCTGTCGCCATGGTTACTGCTTCTATTACTGCGGAATTCAAGGACCCCATTTCTGGTTAGAATAGCACTGGTAATTCTGACTGGATTTCCTGGTCGGACTGCATTTCCTGGTCTGCCTCGGTTTTCACTGTAAATTCTTTGCTGGAATTGGTTTTCTGAGTTGCTTGAGACAACTTCCTGGACGACAATACTTGAATTACACTCCCTTCCCCTCCCCAGGCCATTGCGTCCTTCACCTTGCACATAAAGAGAGAAACCAGAGCTCGACAACGAGACATTTCCAGAGGAGTAGGGAGGGGGGAGGTCTGTAGGGTCATACACAGGTGGAGGCACAATATAAGGCGTAGCACCACAGTCTTGGAAATTGTCCACAGATCGGTATATAGGTGGGGCATAAGAGGGTAACATGTTGAGATCTGTTGAGTAGTGTAGCCAGGAATATTGACTCTGTTCATGGCTGTCTGATGGAGCTGATAGACGCCGCCTAAAGAGGGGCTGAAAAGTTTGAAAAATCGTCTATATCAGTAAAACGTAATATAGAATTAAGGAGTATGCTTACTGCTTACAGTACCTCTGGGTTTTGAGGTTCCACTGCTGTTCTCATCATGGCATGTACCCTGCATGTATAGCTTAATGCACACAGGATACATCACATGTGAGGTTGTTTCAAGGTCCAATCTGTGAGTTAGCCATGCCCTGAGTTAGATCAGTCCAGATGTTGTTTCAGGGTTTGATCTGTGAATTAGCAGTGCCCTGACTTAGATCAGTCGATCCAGATGTTGTTTCAGGGTTCTATCTGTGAATTAGCCGTGCCCTGACTTAGATCAGTCCAGATGTTGTTTCAGGGTTTGATCTGTGAATTAGCCGTGCCCTGACTTAAATCAGTCCAGAGGTTGTTTCAGGGTTCAACCCATGTAAGATAGCCATGCTCTGACTTGGATAAACCCAGAGGTCATTTCATTGTTCGATCTGTGAGCTAGCTGTACACTGACTTTGATCAACTCCAAGGCTGTTCCAGGATTCGATCTGTGACTTAGGCGTGTCCTGACTTAGATCATTTAAGAAGTTTTACATATAAGACTAAGAGTTTGAGTGTAGTGATCTCTATACATGTACCTGATCTCTCCCAGCTTGTCTTGCCACAGATGTACAGCCCAATATAGTAGCAATAAAGCACACAAGTGAGCCGAATATATTGAGCACACACAAACTATACAAGAGTTCCTTGAGTAAACCAGTCAATATGCTGCAATCTTCTACTCCCTCAAACTTGTACGACGGGATATTCTGTTTACAGGTCATGATGCTGTCGCAACACATGCATGATTGATTGATGATGTTTTGTTGACAGAGGATGATGGATTTGAGAAGACCACCAACCTCTCCTGTTAGGATAGTGCCAATCATGTGGAGGACCACACACACCGCTGAGAAAAATGTGAACAATCCCATCTGGAAATAAAAAAGAACAATTTATTACCGTTTAACGTCATTTGGGAGTAGAGTTGTTTGTTGGTTCTCTCCTGTGCTTTGAGGGTTTTTGATTACTGCTTCTATTACTGTGGAAGCACAGATGGTGTGCGCTGCTGCTAATGCACCGCCTCTCACCAATGCGGCCTGAGATCGAGTCCTGCTGATCTCAATGTCGTGAGTAAAATTGTTTGTTGGTTCTCTCCTGTGCTTCAAGGGTTTTTCTCCGGGTTCTCCGGTTTTCCTCCCTCCTCAAAAATCAACTTCTAAATTCTAATTTGATCTCTGGGCTTTCACTTAGTTTGGAGCCTAGCTCTGTTGTGATTGTCCCACACGTTGTGATACAACAGCGGAAGCTTTGTAGATTTTTTCTTCCTCCGGGTTCTCTGGTTTTCCTCCCTCCACAAAAATCAACTCCTAAATTCCAATTCGATTGTTGAACAAGGGTCACAGGTTTGTTGACCACTGGCTATTAAGTGCTATTCTGTAAAAAACAAGGACGATTGTTTTGACAGCCATCCAGCCATTACACATAAAATGGAAAAATGACTCTATAGATACATTCCGGATTTTAACAAAGTGCAAAGTGCTAATAATAAAAATAGTTCAACTGTATTTTGTAAAAAAAATATAATAATAATAATAATAAAAATAGTTCAACTGTATTTTGTAAAAAAAATATAATAATAATAATAATAAAAATAGTTCAACTGTATTTTGTAAAATAATAAAAAATAAATAAATGAAAAAAAAAGTTCAACTAACTTCACAAAAGCTGATATTTTTCTCTTTTCTTTCTTTTCCTCTTACTATATTTATATCAATTTCATTTATACCTCAGCCATACCGTCTGTAATATTTAAGTGAATGTTAAATGTATAGCTGTCTAACTAGATTTAACTTTTTAGTTATTTTAGATAGAGCTTGTACCTTACGTTCTGGACAATTTCTCTTTAAAATCTTTGATTAATGTAAACATTGAGGTTCTAAATAAATCTAGATGTCTACACCTACTTGCAAGAACGTTGTTATACAATATTAGAACATTAGTAATTTAGTGAGAAAGGAATACATTAAAAGACAAAAGAAAAAGTTCAGCTTCAGTGATATTCTTTTGTTTTTTAATATAATTCCTATCCCACTAAATCACTAATGTTCTATTTTCGTATGACAACATTCTTGCAAGTAGGTGTATGTCTATGTCAAAAGCTTTTCAGAGGAATTGCTTTCTTTCATCATAAATTTGATTTGTAACATAGTATAAAAGACAAAAGCTGAGAACATTTGAATTATCAATTTACATCAGAAATGGAAGCTGGTAATTATGCTATTTAGACAATAAAGATATAATCCTTATTTTATTTCATCTAATACAAAAACGTTTGGTACAGTACTTTGCAATGGAAGTTACCAACTAAAAAAAAAAAATTTCTAAAAAATGAAAATGGGGTTGTCTGCAAATTATGGCACACACACACAAAAAAAATTTTTTTAAAGGAAATTTAAGAAAGAAAAAGAACTTCTGCAATGGGAGGGGGGGGGGGGCAGTTGTTTTTGCCATTATTGTGCAGTTCCAGAAATCATCTATACCCACTCCACAGAGAAATTTGGAAATTCTGAAGAGTAGTGGGGTCAGAGAAAGAACAAAAATTACAGAGTTTGTATGGAAGAAAATTGGAATTTCCGGGGGGTAGGGGGTGTCTTAAAAAAATTCCTCCGTGAGGGCGGTATGGATAATTTTTGGAACTACACATTACACCTTTATTGAAATATCTCACAGACTTAAATATGACAAGACATCTTTAATACTTTCACTAAAATAACGATATTATAGTTGACAGATTGTTGATAGATTATTATAACGTCTGTTTCGACTTCTCTCTAATTCGTGTAGCTTCAGCTTTGAATACTATTGAAACAGAGCACTGACGAAGAGATGAGTTAAAGTGCACACCATCGGCTCCTATAACAGTTCAATTTCAACTGAAGGAACAACCGATGTTAAACATCTTTTTTTCTTTTTTTTTCTTCACTTTTAATTTATGACATATACTATATTTTTTAATGAGATTTAGCTAACGAGAGTGCACTATACTATAGTCTATGGAATATTTTACCACAAATGTAAATTTTCAAGCATCCTTATTGGTTGGGATCAGTGGTAAGAGGACATACCAACAAATTATGCTAACTTTTTTTTTCAACTTTTTTCATCTTTTTTTTTTTTGTAGTTAAAAAAATTGTTGGTTTTTTGTGGTATGTCTTCTTATTTACCACAGTTGGTCAAAAGTAGTTATGTACCCACTCCGCTATGCCTAGTACCACCTGAGTTGACTACTCTCGACCAGAACGAATTAGCCAATCAGCGGACATTTTGTTCATCGTTCAATATTTCCTAGTTCCATGTTTTCGGCTTGATAAACAACAGTTTTAGTTGAAAATGAAAGACATTAAAACTCATCCGTTGTAAGATTTACCGAAAATCTCTTACAAATAGTATGTTTCGTCGTAAATAATGGGAAATACTTCACTTGGAAATTTTTGCTGTGACAAACAATGCATTGCATGCCTTGATTCCAAATCAACTGGGCCAGGTCGTACGAAGCTGGATAGCGCTATCCGATGACAGATAAGTCTTGTCCAGTGGATAAATTTATTAGATAACAGTGTTGACTTATCCACTGGATAAGGATTTATCCGCCAGATAGCGCTATCCAGGCTTCATACAACCAGGCCCTGGTAGTGATGAGTACATAACATTTTGAGCAACTATTGACGTTATATCGTGTTAGACAATAAATACCATACAAAACCATCAGAAATTTGTTAAATATATTCATTAATATATGTTACACTGCAAGACATAATTATGTGAATGAAATTATTTTCTTCTCTGTCAAAAAATAGTAATCAAAAATATCCAAAAAACTGTCACATTAATTATTCATTTGCAAGTCTGTAAATTCATAAGCAAAAAAAAATCTTAATTTATTCCAAAACTTTATATTTCGATTTAAGAGTAAAAGTCTGGACTTAATTTTGAATTTAAATTTCTGAAAGACTTTTTTTTACACCGAACCACAATTAATTGTAATATTCGAAGCGTGAATGCGTGAAACTTGAGGAGTTTTAAAATATTTTTTCACACTTTCTGACTTTAAAATAACAGAAAATCACGATTTTCAGTCTTATGGCTTAGGAAGGAAATTCTTCTAATAATCTAGCAGTCATCTCAAAAGGTGAAAATATCAACAATATAAAATGAGAAAATTTTTAGGACGTCTTGTATATATTATAAAGCTCTAAAGATTTTTATAAAATTCTTTTGAAAAAAGTCTGAAGAAAATGAAAATTTAAATTACAAAAATAATCTTATAAGCGAAAAAAAACAACAACAACAAGGATATCTTAATTATTCACTTTTTAAACTCAAATATAGGCTTAAAGGTTTTAATATTAAAGAAAAAGGATTTTATCAAATAATATTTCAATCTGGGCTATTTGTTTACTAAGAGAATCTGCCTTGGAAAAAAGATAATAAATCGAGGAATATGGACTCAAAAGACGTCTAGAGCAACGGTTTTAAAAGGAAAAAGCATTTCATTAAAGCTGACAGCTTTCAGATGGAAATATTTTGAAATTTGAAGTGAAATTTTAGCAGGAAAATTTCATAAAAATTCGGTCGTAGAAGGATAGTTTTTGGTACGTCGTATGGTGAAGTAGCTCGTCTGGGTGTTTGGAGCAGAATTATTATTCAAAATATATTAGTTTGGACAAGCTAAATCGATGAATTGAGAACGAAAGCTCTAAGAAGTGTATTGGACGGCAAGTTTTTTGGGGGAAAGGAAGAAAAATATTGAATTTTACTCACAGAAAGGACTGTTGAGTGTCTCCATGCAAAGATCCCAACTCCACCACTACATAAAACCTGCCAAAAAATACAGCGACTTTTTAATCATTTAAAAAGAAAAATCGCAGTCACTACTGAATATTTACAGTTCTTGTACTTACCGTAAAACCAGCCCAATAAGGACAGGCATTGCGTATTTTTTCTGATTCAGACAGTACGAAAGCAGTGAAGGAGAGTGCAGTCAGAGCAAGTCCAAGAATAACTTGAATCACACCAAAACCCAAGGTTGTACGACGAATTCTTAACCTTTGCTGGTAAGCCACATCTTCTGTAGGCATCCTGCATACAAAGGAACTCTTGAGGAATTAGCATTCCTATTTTCTTGGTAATCGGTGAGGATTTAAGACGAAAAATTGGCGATAAAGGAACACGACCTTCGCCATTTTAGACCAAATTGTCGTAAATCAGACTACGAATGGCTGGTGCCTCGGTTTAATGCGTCAAGTTCAGACAAAGCCGTCGACAGAAAATTGTGTAAAAATCCACCAAAACACCTCAAAAAACCCTAAAAAATAACCTTTTACCACCTCAAATGACAAAACGCTTCAAATATAAGTCAAAATTCTAGCAACTAAACTTCAAATCTACGAATCTTAATTTACGTGCTATTTCTAAATTTCAGGATTTTTTCTGTCTCCAGACACAACTATTCGGAGACAGTTCCGACAGCATATTTAATAAGGACGAAGTTCTTTTGTTCACAATAGATAGCGATTGGTCGGAGACCTAAGGGCAAATGAATTGAATGCCAAATTCAAACATATACTCACGTAATTCTTAATTCTTCTTTTTTACGAATTCTTTGTTGGCATTTCTTGAAATTTAAGCAGGAATTGTGCTTCTTTTGTGTAATGTGCTAAATGTTACACCCTTTTCGATTGTTTGGACACTCATTTGAACGATCATGAAATTTTTACTAGAAA